ATTGTCTCATGGCTAAGCAGTAGGCTGATAAAACCTTGATAATAAGAGCTTTACTTTTGGTGTAATTCAAGTTCTTTACTACCTGGTGCAGCACCTCAAAGTAAGAACACTTTTTTGTCCACTGCAGTGACATTGACACACCGTGTACCTGATAAGGTCAAAAAACAAATATGGTCCAACGAGTATGTAGACTTTTCACCATTGTTAAACAGTAGCTTTACTCAGTCAGACGATCATTATACCTTCAGGGTAGAGAAAGGTGAAGGTGGCAAGCCAGCTTTAGTTTTAGCACGTAGTCCTAAGTGACAGACTGTTCAGTCGATTGAACAACGGGTCTCGGCCTTTCAGGTGTTTGTCGCCATCTACTCAGAAAAATCCCCTTACGATACCCCAGCCCTCATAAAGTATGAGAGTCAAATCAGAGTATGAGAGTCAAATCAGAGTCAATGTGCCAGTTTCTCGATAAACGTGGTTACCCTGTTTCTGTCGTTCAAGCGGCTTACCACCGCGCCCAACTTATTGATCGACATTCAGCACTGCAAACGTCGCATAAGGAAGATTCCGACCGCATTCTGTTCACTCTCACCTTTCACCCTCACAACCACTCAGTTAAATGCATCATTCTTAAAAACTTTACATTACTTCAAAACGATTCAGAGACAAGCACTATCTTTTCTTAGCCTCCGCTTGTTTCATTCAAACGCGACAAAAACAGAGGCAATTTTTTGGTCAGAAGTTCTTTTCAGACTAATGACCAACCAGGCACTTTTAAATGCGCTCGTGCACGATGCAAAACGTGTCCTTTCATTCAAAACACTGATAAAATATCGGGACCTAAATGATCCAGTAAGATCACCGATCACTTCACTTGCACCTGCGCCAATGTAATCCATTGCATAACTTTCACTTATTGCAAAAAGATATACATCGGCAAACGGGCAGAAGACTAGGTGACCGATTCCGAGAACACCTTCGAGACGTGGAAAAGAATGACAAGGACACATCGAAACCAGTCGCTAGACATTTTAATTTACCTAATCATTCTAAGCAACATATGGCAATCTGCGGTCTTTCCTTACACTTAGGTAGCACGGAAAGCCGTAAAACTCTTGAACAAAAGCTCATCTTTCAAACCGGCAGTCTAAATCCCACAGGGATCAACGAACGCTTTTCATTCCACTAATTTATTCGTGTTTTTCTCGTTGCCATGTTCCCACCAATAACGTAGCTCCATTTTCTGCCTTTAAAAGCACACACAACCCACAATTCCTCTATTCGCTCCGACGAAGGGCTAACGCTCGAAACGTCAGCTTTTGTAATCGTTACGGTGGCCAATTTACCATTTCAACTTTGTTGATATATCCAAATTATTTCGTTAC